ATAAAAATTTGTGTTAAAACAATTAAGTGAATCACTTTAAGAATATTTATCGTACGAAAAAGAGACACTGATTAGGTATCAGATATGTATACATACTGGGGCGGTGGAAGGTAGGTCATTATCTTTCCCCTCTGTGCCATCACTGCGTTCTCCACTAGCTGTCTCCGGTTCACTCACAGCTTTCAAGTCCGAAATATGGGCATTATCCTCTCCGTCAACTTCATCTCTGGCGGAGAGGAAACTTTCCTCACTGCTGGACGCCTCTGCTGCGTCACTCCCCACGGTTTGGTTGTTCTGTACCCCAGAGTGCTGTGTGGAGTGATCCGGCGCGTCGCTGTTGGCGATGTTTTGTGCCACAACCAAAGCCTCGGCTTCTCTCTTCTCTCTGCTGAGCTCCCAGGCCTTGGCTCTTTGCTCATTGATGTGACGGACGAGAGGTTTAGACCAGGCCTTAAACCTGTTTTCTACTCTCTCCCATGTATTGAACCGTGCGTGGATGAGATCGCGCTCTTTGTCAACGGCCTTCTTGTTCTCCTTAATCACTTCCCTCAGTCGTGCGCTCTCTCTTATAATTTGACGCTCCAGTTCCAGTTCCCGTTCTTGCAACTCGTAGAGTGAAGCATCTTTCTCCCGCTGCCTTTTAAGGGATTCCTGGTGCGCTTTCTTGGCTTTTGAGAGTTCTTCTTTCAATTCTTTGGTGCGTTTTTTCTCTAGTTTTAACTGCCTTCTCAGCGACAGGACCCGGTGTTGTTGACTGAGGAGGGATTTCTCTAGTTTTATCTGTGTGGCCCGGGAAATGCCTCCAGGAAGAGTGTCAACGTTTAGTCTGGCCTGCCTTGCTTTTTTCTCTACAAAGAAAAGTACACGGGACGAGTAATCGAAGGTGCAGATTTCCTACACAATGTAGTAGTATTTTGAAATATACTTACCTAGTTTAAACAGTTAATCAAGACATTTATGGCGAAAAATTGTTTTTTTTTTATTCAAGCACTAGCTATCAGCATATAGTCATTATATGTCATCCAAACCCGCTTACCTCTACGGTAAGACTCTCTTTTCATCACCAAAGCTAAAGCCAAGAACGCTACACCAAAAGTGCAGATATAGCCACAAACAACCAAGTGACAGAGGCGTAGCAATGTGCGTTTTGTACAGCGCCGCCAAATTGCGCCCGTTTTGAAGGCCATCCAATCCCTAACCTCGTGCAAAAAGGCTGCAATATGATAAAAATAATATAGAAATACAATAATATTAACAAATCAGAATTAGTTAATGAACCACTAATCACATAAAATTTGACAAACAAATTCAAACATGTCAAACCTTGTTTTCATTAGGTTTAACTTCTGAAGTATGTTTATAACCAAATGTGGACCTTCTGCTTAATAACCTATTTTCTCAACTTTTTAATATTACAAGAAAAACTGGCACGTACCGGTAATAACTTCTGGTCCCAGTGTCTGTGTAAATCTAACAGTGATTTTGTTTCCCAAGTCAAGGGCTTCCTTGTAAGCCTCCTCAATGGGCCGAGTAAGGGTTTCGATTGTGTTAATCAAGTGCTGGACAAAGCTATGCGGATCGTCCAATATCGCCAAGAGAGGATCAATGACGTATTTATCCAGAAATTTCCCGGTCTTTACCATGAAGCTGTCCAGGAACGACGAGGTGTCAAATGCCAAGAGACATACGTTGTATGCGAAAGGGTTTTCATAACCGGCGCAAGCTTCCTCGCGGGGGTCGGTTGTTGTTGCTGATGTTGAGAAGAGGTCCGTAAGTGACTTAAATCCTCTCTCTGGAAACCCAGTCATCGACTTGGCCCATACAGAGGCTTCAAAAATTCCTTCACAACCAAGTTTCACCAGGCTGGAGTCGTGGTGACCGCAGGCTTTTTCTTTAGGCGAGACACCCGAGAGGAACCGATGAACCCTCAACAGACCGTCCCTCAGGTGCGGCGTTATCTTTTTCCCGTACTGCCAAGCTTGTTCAGACGCCCAGTCGAACGTTTCCCGTGCTGTGTCATTGACTCTGTCCACTGCAGATATAAAAAGTCACTATTGTATGAACAGTCAGTGCCATAACACTGATTCATTATACAACAGAATAAATGCACACGTCTACAGATGTCGCAATAGATATGGATCTGCTTAATTGTTTTTTTTAAAATTCAATTTAAGTTACCACAAGAAATCTAGTGAATGTTAAAGCAGAACTTTTTTTTTGGTACAGCATGATAACTTTTAATTTTCCTAAGAATCGGTGTATTTATCAGGAAGAGCCACGAAACTGTGATATACCTATTAGAGTGGCTAGCTCGCCCCAGTAGCCGTACATGTCTGCTTCACTGACCAGTGGTGGTTTGAGAATTCGAACAGGGTCGCTTGGGAGGACTGAAATAAATAAATAAATAAATAAATAAATAAATAAATAAATAAAAAAACATATGATAAAAGAATCGAATGATAAATGTAGTCGCACTGAATCGATATGAAACGATCGAACTTAACATATATACGTAACGAGTCCATCTTTCAATCAGGATGATAAGACCACGATGCTTATGAACAACAGAATGCGAATACAACAGGTTAAATGTGTATGATTCACAGCTATACCTCAAAAAGATTATATCTCTTTGGATTGTAGTGTTGAGGAAAAAAAAACGAATCCTACCAGTATCAAAATTTTTGCCTCTATCCGGTCGTCCACGTGCTACATCGTCCGTTAACCTGCCCCAGCACTGGGTAGTGTAAGAGACACTCCAGGTATATGCTTTACACTTTGAGGCAAACGTCTCAGTTCTCTCTTTCCTACCACTCTCAGTTGCCACTCGGGATCGTGTTCTAACCCTACTGTCTTTCATCTCTGAACGGTGACCTAGAATTATTAATAATAAATTGTATTTGTTAATTGGTAGAAGAAATATAGGCCTACTTTAATACATTAAAAATAAGAATTTGTCGTTGAAAATAAGTATTGTGGTTATTGTGGTTATTAGGACACACGTTATTTCCTATACAAAAATGTAAGATCATACTGTCCTTAAAATTAAGAAAACTTTTCTTGAAAAGACGCAGAGTTGAATGTTTGACGACTGCTCATTTTAGGACTTAGAAAAATGTCAGTCTACATATAAGTGACCTGTGTAAGAATGGCTTTGAAATATGTCGGACGCTCATATATGACGAATATTTGAATTTCAGCCTTTTCTAAAGATTACTTTTAATGCAAAGACTAAGACTATGTTAGGCAATATCCTAGCGTACTGAAATAAGCTCATCATTGCCAAGAAGATATTAGGTTGGCATCGTCTGTGAGTAGGCCTATCTCAAAAGTGATTATGTCAACGAAAGGAAATTTGCGATCTATAACGTAGTATTTGGGGCCTACCGGTAAATCCGTTTTGCGCATTCTTCAAAAACGTCTTGATATCCTCTTGGATAGAGTTATAGCCAGCTGCAATCCATGACACGATGTCGCCAAATGCAAAATCTGAAAAATCACAGGCTGAATTTTGCAGTTATCCACTTCGTCAAACGCAAAATATCTATGTAATTTATAATTAGATAACAAATAAATGCCTCTTGAATCAATTGGGCTTCGGCCTGTCCTATCCTTTTTTTATCCAGAAATATTAATGTTTTTAAAAACCTGTGAAAATTTCGTAAAATAATAAATGAGGGAAATTATAAATGTTAGAGATTTGATGCATGTGCACTTAAAGGGATAATAACTCTTCGTATTAGGTCTATATTTCACAATAAAAACATTGTGAATAACTCATAGAAATATAATATATTCTTTTTTACGACAAAAACAGCAGTTATAGCTATTATTCTGATATCTGAGCTTGTCTTTAGACCACGTGACCTCCATTGATGGCTATACTCTGTTATAATCTCTTAAGAGATTTTAACAAAAACCAAACTTTTTAGAAAAAAACCAGGGACTAACAATATATAAAACTACTTACCATGCCTTGATGCGAAATGACTGTCAACATTTCCAATGACGTAAATATCCGTGGCCAGCAGATCTTCAGTGGCCAGCGGAAGGGTTATCTTACCCACTTTTGCCACAGGGACAACGATGTCGGCAAGTGGAGTAGTGTTATTTCCACTAAAATGGAACCAAAAATTTCTAAGTAAAGTTTTCGTGGATTTGTCTTAATTGCGTCATGTAATTAAAGATGAAAAAAGTGTAATTATCTTCTATATCTGAACTGCTCGGCAAAGTGCTTTCTAAGAGATGTAATGTCACGCCGATAGTAGAAAACTTAGAACACGTTATTTTGAGTAACGTGAATGGAAATGTCTTAAAATGACTTTGTACTTACGTGCGTATACCTCAGTCCATCTAAACATCTATCATATCACATTCTTTCACTTCCATAAACTTACCTATTCTCCTGTGGGAATGTCCACAGGAAGTAGCGATCGAATAACGCTACAGTAATACAGTATATAAAGAATAATCTCCTTGATTTCATCGTAAAACATACGCGAAGCAATACACAGCAACATCCATGTTGCCGAAATGCGAAATGCGCTATGAATAACTATAAACAAACGACACGTCACATGTTTTATGACGTCACACTAAGAAGAAGACGTATTGCGTTTGACGTATAAATCTAGGCGGACAATTGTGTAAAGCAAATTGGAAAAGCGTAGGGAAAAGTCAACAATTGATCTGCTATTGTTAAAGAAATCCATTTGCCATTTGTACACTGTTTAATTCGTGAAGAATTTTTTTCTTGCTTTTTTCTTTTTTTTTTCATTCTTTTTTTTTTCGTGGGGATGGGGCGGTACAAATACATTGTTGATATATGTTCATAACAATTCATTCTTTAATACATTAAAGTTTTTCAAATGCATGACACAAAAGAATGAAAGATGTAATTCTGTCATATATTAAATCCAAAAATCAATCATTTGTGCTTTCGTGATGACTCATGTTTTACTCGTTAGCATAGCATAAAAAAAGTTATTACAAGACAGATGTGAACAAGTCATTAATGAACTTTATTTTCCATTTTACAATCATCGATGTATTCAATTAATAAGGCCTAATTTGTTATCAATTATTACCATTTAGTTGCATTTTGAGGACGATTCCACTTCTCGTCAGTTAGCAACATCGCCTGCGAGAAGCTTAGTTTATGTGCACACAGAATGAATGTATCTTTAATTTATAGACTGCTTAAATGCGTTTGCGGTTGAAAAACCTGGTGGGAAACGAAGATAGGTTCTGTAGCTAAGACTTTGCTTGGAACCCAAAAAAGTCTCCAGGTTTGTTTATTTTCAATCCATTCATTCAAGATAGCCGAAGACCCTATATCAGAGGGTAAGTTGCCGACAGAAAGACGGAGAGATGTGGCTTCATCAGCGGCTGTCTAGACTAAGTCTCTGGTAACTCTCCCTATAGCTGATGGTGAGAGGTATGCTGACAACAACTGCTGCTACCAGGACCCAATTCATGTACTGGATATCTGGATACACGACAAAATAATGATGTTAGGTACATCATTCAAAACGACCAGTGAAAAAGAGTTTTAAATGTAAAGCTGAGAATGAACATTAACTTAATTAAATTAGCTTTTTTTCACTATCAGGCTGATCTACAAAACTCGTAATATTCAATTCTGAAAACACGTTGATTGATGCCGTGCATGTATGAAACGTTAAATTTGTCCGCCTAGTACATGTTGTAAGAAAGGCGCATTAACACCTGAAAATTATATCTTTGTGTGTGCGAGTGTGTGTGTGTGTCGTGATGTCTTCGGGGGGAAGGGGGGGCAGGAGGCGACAAGCATTATGCTTTACCTACCAACTTGAGGTATCATAAACGAGAAGAAGAAGATGACCGCCACCCCGTTGTACAGCGCGGTCAGTAATCCAGCAGTGACCCCTTCGGCCACGGGATAACTGGCCTCACACGCCAGCTCCAGCCCAAACGGCTGAAGTGCTATCTCAGAAATGCCTCCTAGGATGATAGAGATGTAGGTCATCGCTGAAAGAAACAAGACATAATTTTCGCATACATTAAGATGTCCAATGATCTGAGCAATGTGAGATAAATAGATAGATATGTTTTTATTCTGAATTGTAAGCAGAGGCGCATGTAATTAAGAAAACATTTTATCACTTTCACAAAATCAGCAAATCCAGCAGTCAAAGATATATTAAGAACACCAATGAGAGATACAACATATAGGTTGATTGGTATTTGGCCAGTCCAGGCAGTTATTTATTTACTTATTTATTTATTTATTTGTTTATTTGTTTATTTGTTGGTTTGTTTGTTATGACTCAATTGAGAAAGTACGACATTACTTTTAATTGGCAGGTAATCGATCGAGTGACTCGAAGATTTGATAAGCGGACTAAAATAAGACGCTAACAAGAATGTATAGTAATCAGCTACGCATAAACGAATTGTGTGAGTTTGCAAAAAGTGAAGTAATTTTGAAAACAAGATAAGCGCCGTTTCTATTGTTTCGAATAAGCCAGATACCAAGCGCAACGCTCTGACCTGGATTACAAAACAGCCTGAAAATTCTTTCTTCATTTTTTTTAGAAAATGAAAACTAGGCCATTTGCTTGCGTCAGGTAATTTAGCTTGCCAAGAGTAAAATGCAACTTTGGGAAACCTGCCGCCTAAGTATATAGTCCTTGCCCTCTACCAGGGCCGCAGTTATTATTGTGGACGTTTTTTGCTGAATCGAGAGCCAAAATGACTGTCTATTTATCTATAGAGATATCTGTGAATATCTGTGAAAAATCAATCTGTCGCCCTGGTAGAGGGTATATAGTCCTGATGCTTGAACAATCGGGCATCAAGCACTCACATATACCCGGGTCGCACTGAACCAGCGGGGTGAGATATTACGGTTGAACTCCGTACAGCATGACAGCACGCTGCACAAAACCTTCGAGCGCGGAGAAGTCTTTGAAGGCCATCTACAAGCAGTGGCGTGACAGACTGCGATGAAGATGATGATGATTTGCAATAGGAAGAACAAGAACAAAACAGTAATTACCAATCCATCCAGGAACAAGTGGCAAAACAAACGTTTCTATCAAAGCAGCAAACCAAGTGTACGACCCGGCAGACACAAATAGCAGTATGATGACTGCGGCCTTTAAGTGACCAGCAAATAAATCAGAGATCCTAGAAATACACGTACCCGAGTAGTAATAACAGTTTTATTTTTACTATCAACAAAAGCAAACTGACACCTTAACAAGTTTTTGCAACAATTACAACAACACGTGGTTCACTGTTCACATTAAAAAAGGTAGCTTAAACGAAACGGATTATTTTATCAAACATACCTTGCAAAAAGAACTGCTACCAAAATTCCAGCAATTGAACTCCAGAAACCTAAATACGCTGCCTCATCCTACAAGCAATGAAATATTTATTTCGAAGTTAATTCAAGATTAAAGGAAGAAAAAGGCTTTTTAAAATGTACGCTTTAGATTAAACAGGATCAATATCGCATAGTAAACTTTGGAATGTGATTGAACATTAGTAAGCAGCAGGGCTTACCTGTGACACTTTGTCTTGAAGAATAACTCCTAGTAACGACATCCAGGACCCATACACCCCCGTTAATGCGTATGGGACGCCGATGGCAAACACTTGGTATTTTCTGCAACAAAACAGTAACACGGAGGGTAAAGGCCTATGCCAATTTTAAACAATAGTATATTTTTCGTCACCTTTCGTCACAGTAGCGCGCGCACACACACACACACACACACACACGCACACAGAGTAATCTCTGACCACAGGGTGCGCTGCAGTCTTTAACAAAATTTTTGAAAAGCAGTGTGATTTGTGCAGGATTTTAGGGGGGCTTTAATGAGAGAGAGAGAGAGAGAGAGAGAGAGAGAAGGAGGGGGTACCGTAGCAAGGCAAAAACGCCTCTCCGGTAGTCCACTCTCTTCTTGGATGCGGATACACTGGGAGGCGTTGGAGGTTTGGCGGGAAAATACAGCAGCATGCTGACAAATACGGCCACACAGACGCCTGCCTCTGAAATGATGAAATAAATTGAATTCGACCAATTATAGAAAAGCAGATAAGTAAACGTGGAAATAATAACGAAAGATATCTGCTTGAATCCCGCACTTCACTTAAGGAATTCATTAATGCTTAGATAGATGTTAATATTATTCTCCATTTAATATACTGATTACTGAGTATGATTTTTTAAAACAATGTTTATTCATAGGAAATGGAGGCAAAGCACTAAAAGCATTAGATGTTCTCCATCTGAGTATGATATTTGGCCTATATACGTTTATGTGACTTTCTGTTTTCTGCGAGTCCTGTTGCTCACTACTTCAAAATGCTTACCAATGAACATAAGTCTGTGAATGTCCCAAGATACCTCTTCTACAGATATATCACTGAAACGTGGATACGAATCATGCACGGATCTCAGTGGTATTGGCAATCTGTTCAACTCTATGACAGGGTTCCCACAGATTTAGATCGATCCATCTGGATCGACCTAACTCCCTGGGGGTTCACGCTAAATTGCTGTCTGCTTCCGGGAGCCGAGCGCGCACGAAAGTTAATTACCCCTTTACAGCTTTTAGTAGGCGGGACAGACATTTAAGCCGGTTAAGCTGACAGCAATCTAGTGAGACTCCCCAGGGGGATAGATCGATCTAAATATCTGTGGGAATGGTCTCTATATCTTTACTTTTACGACAGCCAAGAAAAACGGCAACAACAAACAAAAAACAAATATAGGAGAATGTTTCGCTTTGAACAGAAGAAATGCAAATTGAAGGAATGAACTAAAAATGCGTATTCACGGAGGTAAGTAATACATTCACCAGCGCTTTTCTTGTTATATGCAGATTACTGTCGACCTAATTATCCTAAGACCCTGCTTCGGTAGAGGACTTCTAGTCTAGTGGGATTTCCACAAAAGATGAATAGTAGGGGCATTTTGGGGTAAAAGTTGGGAACCAGGCTTATTAGCATAATTTTGGGATGCTGAATCCGATTTACCCGGTTCCCAAGCGAAATTTTGCGTTTTTAACGGTCTAATTTTCAAAAAAAAAAAAACAAAATGGCCGCCAGATTTCCTATTTTCTGCAATATCTCTGGGACTAGACAGGTGAACATGACAAATGAAGTGTCTTTACCTATATTTTCAGGGTCGAGGAACATTATTAAGATGTTTCTGTTAGAATTAGATTTACGCAATTGTCCTAAATATGCAAATTAGGATCGCCATTACTGAAAAACCGTTTTACTTCTGTATCTCTGTAACTAGGCAAGCAAACATGACAAATGAAGTGTCTACACCTATGTTCTCAGGGTCAAGGAATGTGATAAATCAGATGTCTTGTCTTATGGGTAGCACTGACTTTGTGAATCGTGTCCGAGTAGCATCTTTTATTGTTTCTTCCCTGTATCTGTCAAACACAAGTCAATCTGCTGATAGTTAGAACCTGCCTTCAGAACTGCTTTTACGGGGGGCTTCTCGATAGTCCGAAGGTTCATTGGTCCGAAGGTTCATTGGTCCGAAAAGTGGTAACGTTTTCATCGATTTTTTAATAAAGGCTTCATTGGTCCGAAGGTTCTATAGTGAACATTCGGACCAATGAACCTTCGGACTATTGAACCTTCGGACTATCGCTACGGTCCCGCTTTTACGTTAACTAGGCAAGCAAACATGACATATGAAGTGCCCACACCCATGTTTTCAGCTTTAGGGAAAGTGATTAAGACATTTTCACTATAATCAAATCAGCAATGAGGGCTACACTGTCACACTGTAGCAATTATTCGAATCTGAATTGAATTTTGCAATTAAATACTGCGCTGCCATTGGGATGTAAACATATTGGATCACACAACTGCCACTTTTACCTAGATTTAAAAAAGATTACCTTATTAATGCAATGGAGGGATTTGCTGAATCAAATAATTCATGTGATGCAATGTACAGACTTCACATTTAAAATGGATTTTTTTCAAACATATTATCTTTGAATTTTTNCATATTGGATCACACAACTGCCCCTTTTACTTAGATTTAAAAAAAAATTACCTTATTAATGCAGTGGACGGATTTGCTGAATCAAGTAATTCATGTGATGCAATGTACAGACTTCACATTTAAAATGGATTTTTTTCAAACATTTTCTTTGATTTTTTTCCCATATATTAGTAATGGATGAAAAACACTTGTTATCGTGTTCGATATGGCTTTAATAAATCAACCTGTGTGAATACATCATCATAAATTTAATTTAAATACTTATTCAAATCAGCGTTATAAACAGCGCATGGATAATTTTATAGCTGATAACAAACTGGTATTAAATTCTTATGAACTCGATATTATCAAGAATATCAGTTGGTAAGGATTTTCTCTCACACAAAAGAATCCTCAAGACAAATGTGAAAAATGGAAACTGATGACAACGCGTGCAGCCTCTTCTAACTGCAACCAGAGCCCTCATTCCATGCAGAGAGGTTTCTGAGAATATGATTCAGCATTGTGTTACACGCATTAGTCAGAGCTTGCCTAGGCTTGTGCCGATTTGTAGGGTGGATGGGTAAGCTCTTGATTCTGCTAGCGATTTACAGGTTTTCTATAGAATTCATGTCAGGGGAATTTCGTCGGCCAAGGCAACTGGTTTACCTCTTGGTTTTGCAGAAAAGCAGTTATTGCATGGGCATAGTGTGGTCGGACATTGTCATCTTGCAGGATGAAGTTGTCCTGGAAGTACCTTCTTGCAAATTGCAAGCAAGTATTCTCTAAAATGTCTCTGTATTTTATCTGGTTGGGTTTTTCCGTCAATTGCCACCAATAGTGTTTTGGCTCCAGAGTGGAAACCGGCCCATACACAGTTACTGCCACGGCCACAAGTCACTGTAGTGTGACTCAATCCTCGTGCAGTAACTCGTCTGGAAACCTACTGACTCTGATTCAGCCATCGCGGTGGTGGAACTGAAACCCTGCCTCATCTGTAAAAATCTACATGAACCCAGTGCTGTGCCTGGAACCGCAAATGGCGTCTAGCCCACCATGTTGCTCTGTTCATAGAGTTAACCAGCTAAAAGTAGCCTTGCATTCACTATAGTTCTAGAAACATGCTTTTGAATGGTAATTTGCCACTCATTTTGTACAGCAAGAGTTGTCTTTGTTCGGTTGTTGCGACATAACCGCAGAAGCAAGCGGTCTTCCCTTCTGGTGGTGACATTAGGACGTCCTGACCGTGGTCTCAGACTGTGTTAATACACCAGTCTGGGCGTGTTTCTGTACGACGTTAGAAACTGCTCCCTGGGACACATTCAGCTGTCTGGCAATAGCAGTTTGCTTCTGTCCATTCTGGCATAATGCAACAATAGTGTGGCAAGTTGCTGCCGTTAGTTCACATACCGTAAGGTCAGCTAAGAGTCTGCAAAATATCAAACTTCTGACTGGACGTTGCCGAAATATAGAGACTTATTCTGCAGAACTGCTGCCCTTTTATACGCATTCTGTAACCAGCCAAAGAGGACTGCTCAGACAAACTGCCACATATTACGTAAGGCGGGTCCTGACCCCCCCCCCCTTCGAATTCTGGTCCCCCCTTCGAATTCTGGTCCCCCCTTGAAATTATCATTTTGACTAGCTGAATCATACTTGTAAACCATACCAAATGGCACCGTTCACCCCTTAAATACCAAAATTTTTCGTGGCCCTTCAACAGGCCCCTAACCCGTTGCCAAGTTGGGGGGGGGGAGGGGGGAGGCTTTGCATTCGCGGACTCCCCCCTTAAAATAATCCTGGATCCGCCTCTGCTCACCTTGCCTTATAATTGATGGGCAAGCACTGGCAATTTCACTGGGAAAGCCTGACAATGCAGTGACCTTTGGTAGTTTGGCTGACACGTAGGCCTACGTAAGAGCAGTTCTGAAGGCAGGTTCTAACTATCAGCAGATTGACTTGTGTTTGACAGATACAGGGAATTAACAATAAAAGGTGCTACTCGGACATGATTCACAAAGTCAGTGCTACCCATCAGACAAGAAATCTGATTTATCACATTCCTTGACCCTGAGAACATAGGTATAGACACTTCATTTGTCATGTTTGCTTGCCTAGTTACAGAGATACAGAAGTAAACCGTTTTTTCAGTAATGGCGATCCTAATTTGCATATTTAGGAAAATTGCGTAAATCTAATTCTAACAGAAACATCTTAATAATGTTCCTCGACCCTGAAAATATAGGTAAAGACACTTCATTTGTCATATTCCCCTGTCTAGTTCCAGAGATATTGCAGAAAATAGGAAATCTGGCGGCCATTTTGTTTTTTTGCAAATTAGACCGTTAAAAACGCAAAATTTCGCTTGGGAACCGGGTAAATCGGATTCAGCATCCCAAAATTATGCTAATAAGCCTGGTTCCCAACTTTTACCCCAAAATGCCTCTTGCCTCTTATGCAGAGCCTTTTTTCAAAAATCTCACTAGACTATAACTTTTGTGAAAATCAATTATGCCGATTTGTGAATTCAGCCTGAATTTTCACCATACTTTGTCTTCTGGTAAATTTAAGCTTAAACAAAATAATAGTTTGGCACTTATGGATCAAGCATTGCCAAATTACTTGACTTTGTCCTGGTGAGATAAAAATAACTGATAGTATTTCTAATGAAAAGCTCACCTGCACTTGTTTTGGGGTTGCATTTGTAATTGTCAACATCTCATTGATGATCACAATGCTGAAATATAACAAAAAGTACTGGTATAAGATATGTGGCCTCTGACTGCAAATCGTGTTTTATAAGTTTGTACTGACTGTGTATAAGATTGATGTAATACCCGGGCAGCTGGAGGAGTACACGTAGGTGTCTGAAATCAGCAGTGTTTATTTCTCTTGTCTTTAGAAAAATAAAAACTTTAAAATAAACAGGTGGTAAAATTAAAATGATGCTAGTAAAGGTGCTACAACATTGCAAGCTATTAACCATGTTAAAACCAAACAGAGCAATATTTCCCCTCAATATTCCACAAACATAACACACATGCAGATGCATGAACATTCAAGCTCATAACAGTTCCACTATAAAAGCACAGATACAAACACATACAAGGCAATACAACATATAAACACAAGACCACATAACACACTTATATAAACATAAACACGGACACACAGCACACTCAAATACAAATTACACTAGCACAAAACCACACAACACACAAATACAAATACATGAGCTCACAAATACACCCAAGTACAACCAAACAAAAGCACAAAACACACACATATACCATATCATTTTACAAACCATCACATATTATCATACCTTATTTGTAGATTTTTATACAGAATCACTATACCCCTAAGAGGGGCCAACCCCATAATGTCAAATATGAACATAGACGTGCACACAAACACACATAATGCTTTTTAGATGTTGAAGAACTGCTTTACCTTTTATAATGGCCTATTCCATTAAGCCATATACAGGCAGACAATTCCACATATATACAAAGATACTGTTCAATGAGCCAGTCCTCTTCATGCACCTACTTACCCAGAGCCTTGTGGAACAGTAACAAAATGTCTGGAAAAGTATCTGACAGGAGGCTTGTCTGACTTGGTGTCACCTGGAAGAAATGCAGTTTGTTATAATTGATAATTATTTGAGAAATACATAGTGGAAATCTGGGGCAGACTTAGACATCGTCTGTCTCTTACTTGAAGTCTGAAGAATTTGTTCTTACTGATAACTACTCATCAATATTTTGGGTTGGAAATCGAGGGCAAACTTAGGGCCCATTCAGCTTCAGACATCATACCAGCTGGGTGGATCCAACTCTGAAGGGATTCTCACTAAAGTGCAATCACTGTAATCAACTAAATTGTCTGACATGCTTCCTTGAGCAGCTTAGGGATAATAAAGCCGAGTGCACACTAACGATAATTTTCATGACATGCTAGATGTTTTGTTCCTGTACTTCATGATGCATGAATATATGTGAAAGTGCATGTTACTATTTTTTTTGTTCATACTCACTCTCTTTGAATATCCCAGAGACAATGAAGCTCAAAAGATGTTGCTACAATGTAAGAGAATATATCATAAACATATGGGGATCATTTTGTTGTGGCCACAAAAAATGTTATTTTGCTCAATAATTTGCTATTCTATTAGGTATAATCTGTGTTACAGAAAAACAGAATTACTGATTACAAAAAAAGTAGCTCTTTAAATCGATAAAAGATTTGTAAACCTAAAAGCCTAAGAAAGTAGAAAAATGGCAATCACATCACTTGAACTGCTTACCGTAGCATTTGTAACATCTAGAACAAAAGAGTTTGCATCATGGGATGTCTTGGGGAGGTTGCACAGTGCTGCCACCACATTCAGTTTTCCTTGTTTCAGGCACTTGTTTCTTTTGACTATCAAACAGACAATGAAGACGATACATTCAAGTGCTTTCAATCTTTACTTTACAAAAAAGTTCATCATCTAACTGTACCTTAAACCCTATGAAATTTGCACACTTTCACAGAAAGTAATACTAGCTGCATATTCTCTAAAAACCTTATTCCCTTGACAAAAATAAAATTGTTCAATTTAGATGATGACTGTTTTTCTCAGTACCTATTGGACAAAGGTGGAAAATAAATCAGTTCTGAAACATGTAAATACCTCCCAATACTTATCTTCTGGTAATATGAAAAAGTGGGCACATCAGCTCATCAACGCTAATGCTAAAACTCACCTGGATCTTTGACCTTCACAAGATTTCTGCTCTCTGAGAGGTAGTCGTGATATTTAGGATAACTAAAAAATAAATTTTATCCACAATTCAGCCACCTTATCAACCATACAACTGAATGAATCAAAAGGACAAATACATAGTTCTGTTTTTTTTTTCAAAGGAAAATAACAGCTATCATTTCATGTCTTTATTCACATATGTACATACCGTACATACTTTATTTCCAGGATATTTTCTACCAATCAACAGACTTTACAGATAAACAACGGAATACCTAAATTACAAAGACAAATATACACTGATTCTGTTCTTATCTTGAAATTTTAACCACAGAAAATTTATTTTCTAAGAAAGCTATAGCACCAAGTAATTTACTAAACTTTAAACTTTAACAGCATTTAAAATTTGCAATAATTACATGGTTTGGTTGTGCAACTGGGGAAGATAAAAGGAAAATGAACAACATCATCAATACTTAAGAGTAAGATGATTGGTCATGCTTTACCATCAAGAGCATTTATGTGGAGAGAGTGGAGAAGAGATAAGACAACACAATGAGTGACTTTTATCACCCTGCGTTTACTGTTTAAATTTTTACCTAGCAACATGAGCAACATTTCAAAGGCAGTTAAAGCTTTTATCCTTCAGCTGTTGCTCATTTTATCTCTAATTTTTAATTCAATTGCCCTTTTAACACATTCGTTAATTTATCATTGAATTTTCACATCTCTAACTTTGATGTTTTTAGATTTCATTTTTTAGAGATCAGACAGAAAACAATGTCTGGTGAAACCAATATTTTAGGTATGTATTAGCCAAATAAATTATTTTCATTTGTTAACTAGGTCACTTCCTATGCTCATATGTACTTACTTTGTTACCAGTGTCAAGTTTTGTGCAATATTCACTGAAAAGGTTGCCTGAATAAAAAAAATTAAATAAAAACATCTACAAACAATTTCATGAACTATGAAAATATACCTTCTATTATAAATTTTCCTTTATAATCCTATTAGTTAAGTCACAGAGAAACCAACTTATCTTTAAATAATAATAATGCAGCATGCATTGTAAACCTTTCAGCCTTTTCAAACTATTACTTTTACTAGTATGAGGATGAAATCTTCAGACAGAGAAAAATTAATCTAAAACAATTATAGAACTTTCCACTAGTCAGTTTAAAAAAATGGGTGAAGATGCAATACTTTAATAGCCAGGTGCCAAACCAACTTTCACATTCTTGCAAGGTTAAGCCCTGGCATCAATTTCATGTCATAAATTAATTCTGTCGATATAGTATTATATATATATATATACAAGAAACACAACTCGGCATTAATTTTCATACTGGTCATGGTGATTATGCGCAAATAATGAAATGCCAGGAAGAAGGATGTCAGCTTGAATAAATCATGACTGATTAAAAATTAAGTAATTTATTTAAAATTGGAACAGTAAATAAGTGCAGGGAAAGGTCTAGCAAAGATTTGAGATTAAGAGAATTTTTTTCCACCAAGGAAACTGGTTTTGGCACAAAATTTCCATTTATACTACTTTGAACATTGTAATGTTACATTGACAACACCTCATGACTTCACAACAGAAAAACTCAGGGTAAACAAGGACAACTTACTTCATTGTGGTATGCCTCCAGCAGTCCTTGTCTGTCATCACTGTCATAAATGCTAAAATATCTGGAATACAATACAGACAACTCTTCCTTCAGAAAATCACCAAAATGTTTGAAGTAAATATAATACATATACTCTTATCTCTAAAGCTACAAATAGCATCTGCTTTAAAGTTACATCAGCCAAATACATCAACTGTTATTATGGTTTTGGAAATGGTGAGACAAGATTGCAGACTCAAAGAGAGACCTGCTGACCACTTCAAACTGAGACCATGCAAGCTGGAACATGAGACACAAAGACCTCATCAAAAAGGATACTTCTTTGTCTAAAAGGTCCTAACACAGAATTCAAGGTTATAATGTCCAAAATCACAGCCACTTACTGTTCTAAGAACCTCACGACCAAATTTTTCACTTCCTCATTCATGAAATAACTGCCTTGCTTGGTGGGTAGGTCAGTAGGGGACTCCAGGTCAAAACCTATGGGAGGTGGTAAGTCTTTGCCGTCCTGGAGAATACCAAACTTACTCTATGTCACTTACTTATCTAAATACAATATATTAAAATTATGAAAATTAAAACTTAATTTGTTCCTTAAATATAAAATCAAAAGAATCTGTTAATTTTTAAATGATATACTTTTTTCCTTCCTTCCTTTACAACTAAATTCAAAATGATGTTTGATGCTGTCAAAAAATCTTTCATTTGGAAGGTGAGCAATTCACTCATTGTGACAAATTTAAAGTCTCAAACTCTGTCTACTTACCAACTTTAACACCTTAGGGAACCTCTTACGAACAGCGCTGAAACACCATGGTGAACAAGTAATGTCACAATTACTTAAAGAGTCTGTGGCCCTGAAATAACTCTCAGGCAATATGAGGATATGCAAGACATACTTATACTCAAAGCTTGAAAAAGGTGGACAGTGCTTAAAAAAACTTTTTTTTTTCTGAACACCAACTTGGTAGAGGTTGATAATCATATAGCATCCTGTCATGTTCACCCATTAAGTCATGCTATAGGCAGAATTTAAGTGGATAGCACATGATATCAGAAGCAGTTACTCCATCTGACTGGCTAACACAGAGCACAGGTGTCGAGAAAAAACATGCAACCTGAGTCAAAGTAGAGTTGGTATCTGCCAATATTTCATGGAGCAGTAAACTGCAACTCTTTCATTTATCACAAAATGGATACTTTATCCATATGCACCCTAATATATTTTCTCAAATGAAATCTTCATGACATTTAACAGGGTGAAAATACAGTACCACTGCTCTCCTCAAGTGCATGGACTTCAAATCTCACCATCTGCTTCCAAGTACTGACAAACTAAATCTCACCACACAACTCCTTATAAAACTAATGAACTATCAATTATTCCAATTTTGTTTCTTCAAATTATGAACCATGCTAAATATACATAATCATGTCTACTTCATAGTCTACTTCAGAAAGGCATGGTGTTAATCAAGATTGATTTTGAGTATTTTTTCAATAAATTGGAAACAGTAAGGGAGTTTTCCTCACTTTGTCATAACCTGTATGAAGTAAGTTATAGTGATACACCAGAAAACACTTACAACCTGTACACATACACAATACACACTCCTTCACATTTCCAACCAAACTCCTTTGAAACCTGATCCAATACAATTAGGAAAAAGGTTTAAAACCAAAGAAGCCTACCAAGATTTAAAAAAAAAGGAAGAATTAGAAGAAAACACATACCTTTTGTTGTGAATAATTCTTTTTATGAAAAATGATACTAAGTCACATTCATTTAACATATCTACAATGGATTTTTTCTATAATTATATTCCTCTCCTCCGGCCAATGCAACAAAAAGGTCCATGCCACCAACTTTTGAGGAACAGACTAGAAATAAACCTAACTGCCACATATGTAAAGAAGAAATCAAGGACAGACGGTCAAGTCTCTTAAATACATAAAAGAGGAGCTTTAGATATCAAACAGAAGAGTGAAAAGTTTTGCTGCAATGTTTGGATATAGATAGAAAATGAATGATAATATATGACAAATGAGATCTGAGCATACTGTGTGAAGATTCATTCTTATTTTGCTCTATCACACAGACTTCAAACTTTATGATACAATGAGAATGAATTAGGAATACTTCTGCCTTCACTATATGAAGATCACTTTATTCTGATCACATAGACTTCAGGCAGTTTGTTAACCTCACAAATTCTTTTGGCAAAAGCCATTTTTGAAGACAAGGTAAGCAACAATGCCGAATTGGTAATCACGAGGATTAAGATGTCCTAAACAGAACAAATGAAGCAACCACGAAAGGAGGAATGAATATTATGGCGATAATACATGGTGATTGTAAATAATATTGCAGAGTACAGAAAGCCACACAGTTCTGCTGTGTACATATATGATGGAACATGTTGCATTTAGGAAGTAAGAAGCAAGTGGAGCTGACAAAAGTTTAACGCAACCAGGAAAGTGTTCATTGTACAAGTCATCCTTAACAACATTCAGGAATTCTATATTGTCCATAAACAATCTGTGATATATAAATATCATATCATTTTCATGGTAAAAGAAAGAGCCCCTGGCCTTTAAATAACAATATTTTGAAAAGCAATCAGCCAATTCCAAAAAGCCCAAGTTATTATTAGTGAAAAACATTTTAAAAATTCTCAAAACTCAATTCATTTTGTATTTAAAAATAGAGCACAGTTCAAGGGATAACAATGCCCATCAGCAAAAAAATTACAATCAATAACATAAAGGTCAGAGACACAATACATGTATTAACAATAAGGAACATTCCCAATTTTATTTCCCATTATGGAGTCAACTATAAACTGGGAATAAAGAATCAATCTCATCTCTGACTTCTAAACCCCATATCATCATGGGGACAGCATAAAAAACAGCCAACTCTCTTGTTAGATTTTCAAGAGCTAACAGAAAAACGAGTCTTGTTTCCAAACCACAAGTGCTCTTTCACTGTCATCTGGTTGCCATATTGTTTCAGTGTGATGGTTAGTTTTGTCTTAGGTCGCCTCTCTGAGAGAGATCTTACCTTCTTTAACCACATTTGTCAGTCCTAACTTTGTATCAAGTACTGTGAGACAGAAACTGAAAAGTTATGACTGAAAAATATTTCACATCAAAAAAATACTGCAACAGTATAAATATTTAACATAAACAAATGTAGGATGAATTCACAACATTACTAAATTATATTTCATACAACAGAAATAAACATCTTAAAATATCAAAAACCCTGCACACTATTTCAAAAAGTTATTGAGCTGAAATTCAGCTAAAACAAACAAAAAAGTCAAATAACATTTCACAAAATTTGTGATGACAAAAAACAAAACTTTGAAATAACAGCATTACTTTGAAATGAGAAGTGGATAAAAAAACAAATATCAGTTATTAAACAACTGCAGAAAAGCAACTCCAAATGACCTAAATAAAAGGGCAACCATAACTATCAAAACATAACACATAATGACAGACACAGTTCAAAGGCACATGTTCAATGTGCAGAAACCTGCAGTTCACCTCAGGTGATACATCTCTTAGAATGTTAGTAACACTAACCCCCACTAGGTGGCAGCATGTCTCCCATTTGGGCACATCTTCTGTTGATGGGGGTTTCATTTTTTAATGATATCAGATTATCAGGAATTACATTAGGAGTGCACCAAAATACTTCAAACACTGTAACAGTATTTATGTCATGTACATCCTTGGGGGAAAAAAAGATCATTGATTTTTTTCAATACATTTGGAACATGGCTGACTCCTTGACAAAATAGTCATATACTACACAGGCACAAAATTTTGTTGTGTTCAAGGACAGTAGCTCTAGATCTTCCAGAACAACATGCACCTGATATTCCAAAGGCAGAAATGGAATAAGAGGATACAAATGGAAGACCAGCAGCATACAGAATTCCCATCTAAAAATGCAGTGCTGATGACGAGAGGGTTTGTAAAGGTGAAAAAAAAGTGTCTAGTTGTAATTTACCATAACATACAAGTTTTTTGTTTGTAAACATCACAGTTCACATTCCAACAGCTTCTTCTCTTCAGCAAAATGGATTAAAGGTAAATGATGCATTTTATTTTAAAGAAAAGGTTTATGAAATGTGTTAAGAATGATGAAATACAGATGGGGGAAAATGCTATCTGGAAAAAGCATCTGGTAAAGGCATGAAAAATAAGAATATGAAAGACATACAAGAATATGTCTAAGAAAATGGCATATAATGGCCTTTGGTGAAAGGATGGGGGATCATATATTTCTTTAAATGTTTTCAGTTGACAACAGTATTTGTTCAAAACCTTATTCAGACAATCTGGAAGAGGTAAGTACTTAAACCACAAAATATATATTTAAGACCATAAGATCATACAACTGATAGGTCATCTGTCATAATATATTATGAAACATTCACAACTTACAGAAGATTTAAATGACGGCATGTAGCTGAATTAAAAACAACAAGAGGTATGTGTTATCTTCTCATGTGTGTGCTTGTGTGTGTGTGTGTGTGTGTGAGAGAGAGAGAGAGAGAGAGAGAGAGAGAGAGAGAGAGAGAGAGGTTGAAGCTCACAGTGGTAAATATTCCACTTGATGTAGGGGTGTATTACACCCTAAAAAACACAAGCTCCCATACTTTATTGCCATTCAAGCAGCCACTTTCACCAACCAAGGCTCAATCATTTTTACCACGACCTATTTGAGTACAATTATGAGGCACATCACAATTTTGCTTGCAGCTTTCAAACTTCAGTTTATTTCATTTTATGAAGCATAAGCAGCCTATCCAAATTTCCTAAAAAGGAGATGACATTAAAAGCCATATATTTAGGAAAGCTCTAGCAGTGTTTCAACCTCTTTCATTTTTACCACTTCCCNGAAACATCTATTGGCTAATCATAGAAGATATGCCCTTAAGCAAGTTTGACTCATTAATGGAGTTACAGGAAAGTAAAGGTATGCGGATTGGGTCTGCACGCTACCGTCACCATGAAACTGTAAGTATTGTAACAATGCATATATATAAAAAGAGACAAAAAAATAAAAGTAAAAAGTAGCGCGTCATTCGAAGCGATTCAAAATGGCATCCCACAAAAAAATAAAATTGATGCCGGTCCTGTTAAAATTTGATAAAGCAATTTCTGAATTAAATTTTATTATGCAATCCGTTTGTTGCGAATGATAAACATGTCCTAGTACTGGTCATTTTAAGGACGAGTTTAAATTATTGTTCATTTTTGAAGAATGCTCAAATATACTACTATTAGGATATTTTAATTTTATTGCAGGGTCCTTGATATAGGCCTACTTCAACTATCTTTATTTAAAAAATAAGATATCACAGTCAACAGTCATTCAGATTTTTCTTGCTGACAACTGATCCAAATACTATAGATTCTCTTTTTTTAACATAATGGTTTAATTTGAACTGGTCCTACTTTGAAATTTCACAGGTTGAGGAAATGATCACATCTGCAGATATGGTTTTAAGAAGAGATTTCAATGAGAGGATGGAGGCAGCTAACTTTATATCAATAGTTGCAGATGAGAGTATAGATATTGCTGTCTTCAAGAAGCTCCTGAAGCTTCAGAATTTTCGTGCTTTGAGGCACCGTAAAAAGTAATTTAAGTTATCACACTTTAAAGAACTATTTTTCACATGGATTGTTTGTGAAATTGGTCTATGATACGCACCACCTATCCATACACATTTTAAGGTTGATGGTAATATAAAATTAAGAAATCAAGTTATAAAAATGAAAGCTGTTGTGTTATGAGTTTCAGATGTCAAGAGCTGTTTTCAAAGCACTTGTTTTGTCGTGTCTGTCAAAAATTTGTTTCATCAATTTTTGTGGGAACAACATGTTGCACCTTAGTGCTTACTGGTGAGTTGAGAAGAAAAAGGATTACAATTTTACAAAATTTATTGATAGTTTTTATTATTAAATAAGAAAAAAAATTATTTTTCCGAAGGACCCCATTTTTTTCTAAAGGACCCCATTTTACAATGCTAGTGGGGTCCCAAGGACTCCACTTACAAACTGCCCAGCGCAAACACTGCACTAGAGATATAAGCTGCAAGAACACACCTCTTCATTTCAATAGTAAAGCAATATTTTTTTAGTACTTATTTAAACACAGATCACAAGCAAATTGTAAAAATAACATACCTGCAGTAAATGTAAATTACTTGCCTATGGCAAGTTCTAGAATTGATATTGAGGATGTTCTCAAGTGGGAATGTGGGGAGCCTAATCAACCTGTCATTGATGCCCCTTAACGTGGTCACAATGCATACCTGCCATACTTTAAACACAAAATTTATATATATATTAACAGCATACTCACTATCTGTTCTGGGTCATAGAGGAGCCTCCACCACTGCCCATGTCAACATCCCCTTCTTCATCCTCCAGCCGAGACAGAGGGTTGGGACCTTAAAATATAGTCTATCTTATAAATATGAACAAAATTAAAAAAAAAAAATGTTTACCCTTATTAGTACCAAATAAGTTCCATCTTTTCACTCACTGTCACAGCACTAGGGAAGACAGACAAATTTGCTAGATGAAGAAAATGAACATTCTTTTTAAAACCTTACTTTCACTGAATTTCCCTATCCCCTCAAATGGCCTTTCTATTTGCATTCTGCTCCACCCCCCCAATCATAACACCAACTTACCACCACCTCCGCGCCCTCTACCTCTTCCTCCCCTCCAGCCTCTGCCACCCCGCCTGTGTGAGGCGCCTCCCCTCCTCTGAGGCCCCTGGTAGCCTCCACCACCCCCTTGATAGCCTCTGTTGTTATGATCTACAAATATGATAAAATATGAAAATATAAAATATGAACTTGGAATTGTACTCACAGCACTATTATCATCATAATCAGCAGCAGCAGCTTTATAACCATATTACAGAAATTATGTATAAGTCAGTCACTCAGCATCATATTAGGTAAAAACCATCACAAGAGGTGGACCAATTTCAATGGGCATCCAGTATTGCAAACGGAGTCAGGGTTTAACTTTTTTCTGTTTTTTCTCCACTGGCCATATATGGTCCAGTGAGGTCTGGTAAATATTACAAGGGTTACTTGGCACATTGAATTTTAGTTGTCCTTACTCACTCTATTTTGGCTCTTATCTATACTTGGAGTGGCTTCAGTTTATATATTATCCATTCTGTGTAATAATTATATGTCCCACACGGAAGACATCAAAGTAAACTGTGCACACAGGTGAAACAGGACTTCACGTCTAACCAAAGCACTCAAAAAAGAAAGTGCCTAAGTTTTAATCGGAGAAATTTATAAATAATCACATAAAACCAAGTGCTCTAATAAATTTAGATAATGCAAGTTGGAACTTTTGCATTTGGAAAGGCATATCACGTGGATCGAGTCTGAGAAATAAAAAATGTACTCGAAGTACGTTGTATTTCGAACATCAAAATGTTTTACCTCCAATATATCTTTGTCCGTCTCTAGAGGTGGTAACGCTAAAACCTCTTCCTCTTCCTTGAGACATTTTAAAAGTAAATGCAAAAAGTGTGTTGTCCGAGAAGCAAATGTATGGTCGTACGTATGACGACTACGTCACCAGTTTTTGGGTAACAAATAAAGTGGGCTTTTTATTGATTGCTTTAAGCAACGAAGAAAATTCTTAAATACAGGGCACTCTCAACAATTATTTCATATCATATGCGTAGACTAATACTTAAAAATAATTGAATTAAATAACCACACATCTTGACCCCAGCTTGTATTTCTAGCTTAAACCGATGACGTAGTACGCATAACAAATTGGAAGGTCTAGAAAGCGTGGCTAGTAACCGATGGAAATTTCATAATTTTAACAGTAATGGAGAAGCCACAGATTATTGCACATGTTCAAAAGTCATTGAATTTTACGCTCTTTGATACTAAGTGGATTCCGTGTTCGGCAAAGTTCGTGGTTCTAGGAAATCACCCTCGAGGGACGGGAGCCTTGCAAGTGTATGAGGTATCACATGGGGATGTGAAGCTGCTTCACGAGGTAAAGCTATTACGGATGTTGAGTCGTCGAGTGTGTGTGTGCGTGTATAAGTGTATGAATGTTAGTGTGTGTACATGTATGAAGCTTTTAAATCACCAAAAAATTTAGTAAGCCACTCAAAACGGTACAGCTAATCACACGCACCCCCCCCCCCCCCACCCCCACACACACACAGAGAGAGAGAGAGAGAGAGAGAGAGNCCCGCCTGTGTGAGGCTCCTCCCCTCCTCTGAGGCCCCTGGTAGCCTCCACCACCCCCTTGATAGCCTCTGTTGTTATGATCTACAAATATGATAAAATATGAAAATATAAAATATGAACTTGGAATTGTACTCACAGCACCATTATCACCATCAGCATCAGCAGCAGTTTTATAACCATATTACAGAAATTTGTATCAATCAATGTAGCCAGTCAGTCACTCAGCATCATATTAGGTAAAAACCATCACAAGAGGTGGACCAATTTCAATGAGCATCCAGTATTGCAAACGGAGTCAGGGTTTAACTTTTTTCTCTTTTTTCTCCACTAGCCATATATGGTCCAGTGAGGTCTGGTAAATATTACAAGGGTTACTTGGCATATTGAATTTCAGTTGTCCTTACTCACTCTATTTTGGCTCTTATCTATACTAGGAGTGGCTTCAGTTTATATATTATCCATTCTGTGTAATAATTATATGTCCCACACGGAAGACATCAAAGTAAACTGTGCACACAGGTGAAACAGGACTTCACGTCTAACCAAAGCACTCAAAAAAGAAAGTGCCTAAGTGTTAATCGGAGAAATTTATAAATAATCACATAAAACCAAGTGCTCTAATAAATTTAGATAATGCAAGTTGGAACTTTTGCATTTGGAAAGGCATATCACGTGGATCGAGTCTGAGAAATAAAAAATGTACTCGAAGTACGTTGTATTTCGAACATCAAAATGTTTTACCTCCAATATATCTTTGTCCATCTCTGGAGGTGGTAACGCTAAAACCTCTTCCTCTTCCTTGAGACATTTTAAAAGTAAATGCAAAAAGTGTGTTGTCCGAGAAGCAAATGTATGGTCGTACGTATGACGACTACGTCACCAGTTTTTGGGTAACAAATAAAGTGGGCTTTTTATTGATTGCTTTAAGCAACGAAGAAAATTCTTAAAGACAGGGCACTCTCAACAATTATTTCATATCATATGCGTAGACTAATACTTAAAAATAATTGAATTAAATAACCACACATCTTGACCCCAGCTTGTATTTCTAGCTTAAACCGATGACGTAGTACGCATAACAAATTGGAAGGTCTAGAAAGCGTGGCTAGTAACCGATGGAAATTTCATAATTTTAACAGTAATGGAGAAGCCACAGATTATTGCACATGTTCAAAAGTCATTGAATTTTACGCTCTTTGATACTAAGTGGATTCCGTGTTCGGCAAAGTTCGTGGTTCTAGGAAATCACCCTCGAGGGACGGGAGCCTTGCAAGTGTATGAGGTATCACATGGGGATGTGAAGCTGCTTCACGAGGTAAAGCTATTACGGATGTTGAGTCGTCGAGTTTGTGTGTGCGCGCGTATAAGTGTGTGAATGTTAGTGTGTGTACATGTATGAAGCTTCTAAATCACCAAAAAATTTAGTAAGCCACTCAAAACGGTACAGCTAATCACACGCACCCCCCCCCCCCCCCCCCCCC